GCCAGGGCAGTGGCAAATTCTCCCCTGGGATGCTCATATCTCACATACAGGCAGTGATTTGTGTCCTGTCTGCTCTACTTCCCAATCAAGCTCCCTCCTTATGGCCTGGGGAAGTAGTGGGGGATGACCCAAGTTTTGGGGCCCCTGCATCCATGTGAGAGACGCTGAAGACACCCCAGGCTCCTGGATTCAAATCCGCTCAGCTCAGGCTGTTAGGACCATTTGGGGACTGAACCAGCGGATGGAGGATCTCTCTTTCTGCCTCTCCTTTTCTCTCTGTAAAATGTTCCTTTCAAATACGAAAAAATGAAACTTGAAAATAATGACTTGTGTTACTCCATTACACAAGTTAAAAGTGTTGCAGGGCATTTGGCACCGTGGTCGCATTGCAATGTCTTGACTCAGAAATAGCGCCTCTTGGGTTCTGAGCAGCCTGTTGATTCAGGTCCTGAGAGGTTTTCTTTGGCTTCTGCCAACTGTGAGAAAGACTCCACTTGAGTTCTGGGCTGCTGGCTTCAGCCTGTCCCAACCATCTGTGGTTGACATTTGGGGGGCGTGCCACTGGAGAGAAGCTTCCTCTGTCTCTGTCTCCGACTTTCAAATAAAATGGGAAAGAAAGTGCTGTAAACATCAGGACACTTACCAGCCTGGATTGCGGAATCAATTTTTCGTGACAATATGACAATTTTTGAAATATTCTTCAATAACAATTATCTAAGATATATAACCCAAAGAAATACAGTTTTTCACCTAACAATTTATTAAATAAAACACACATGGAATCAGTATTTAATAGAAAAAATATTTTTTCGGTGATTCTAGTGATTTTCTTTTTATTCCACTGTATATCATTGTTGGGGGCTAACACATACAATTATAGTAGGGCATGTGCGTTAGTGGTTGCAGAATGTTGAAGAAATTATTGTACTGATTTTATCAACACAATTGATATGTTGCATTTCTAAGTATAGCTTTATCTTTTTATTGTGAAGATTTGAAACTTTCATTAAAAAATAGGTTCTGTCATCCTCAATGTGTCTTGAACATTTCGCAAATGCATGCTTTCAACAAACTTTGTTAGGAAGCATTAGATTTGTTTTTTAAATATTTATTTTAATTTTATTTGAAAGGTGTAGCTATAGAGAGAGGAGGGAGAGAGAAAAAGAGAATCTTTCATCCACTAATTCTTGCCCCAAATGGCCACAACAGCCAGAGATGTTCCTATAAGAAACCCAGAAGCTTCCTTTGGGTCTCCCATGTGGGTATAGAGTTCCAAGGCCTTGTGCCATCCTCCCCTATTTTCTCAGGCCATAAACAGGGATCTGGATCAGAAGTACAGCAGCCAGGGCAAAAACTCCCATATGGGATGCTGGTGCCTTACGCAGAATCTTAGCTCACCATACCACGTGCAGGGCCCTACACTAACTTTTTGAAGAATATGGCTTGAATGATGTAAAAACATAAAAAGAGTTAATGATTTTTCTCAATTCTGTCATTTTTTATATCCAAGAGCCAGTATTTAACATACATATTATGATTTTCCTCTAATACCAAAAGTATGTGTTTCATTACAGAGTCTACACTAATTGGAAACAATGTTATGATTGTTTCAATCTCAGAAAAATGTCATTCAAAACCTTTTCTAAAAAAATGTAAAGTGGAAGTAATTGTCTAATGAATTTCATAACTCAAATTTCTCTGTTGAAAGCAGAGCAAAAGATTGAATTCAATCTTGAATTCTAGTAACAAAAATATAAACTCTGTGTCTTAGCTTTCCTATATAAAATTTATCATTTCACAGCATAAAAACAAGAAAACAGGAAGCAATAGGAAAGTCATTCCCAACTGCCATGTGTGTTTATCACATCTCTTGCAAGCAAATGTATTGTGACTCTATTCATAAGAATTAGGTTATTAATTATAATTCATGTCTTAATTAATTAAAATTCTTATAGCACACTGATGTTTTTGAGCCATTTTTTAATGTTCAGCCTCCAAGTATTTATTGCCATAGCTGTATCAAAAATCTACGTGTTATTTCCATTGAATTCAAAATATTTTAAAATTTTCCTTACGATTTCTTGACATGAGGCTATTTGGAAATACATGTTTATGGGCCTGACACAGTAGCCTAATGGCCCTAATGACTAAAATCCTCTTCCTGCTTTGCATGCGTCGGGATTCCATATAGACACCAGTTTATGTCCTGGCTGCTCCACTTCCCTTCCAGCTCACTGCCTGTGGCCTAAGAAAGCAGCCAGAGCCTTGGAACCCTGCACCCAGGTGGGAGAACCAGAAGCAACTTCTAGCTCCTGGCTTTGGTTCAGCTCAGCTCTGGCCTTTGTGGCCACTTGGGGTGTGAATCAGCAGACAGAAGATCTTTCTCTCTGTCTCTCCTTTTCTTTGTAAATCTGATTTTCCAATAAAAATGAATAAATCTTTAAAAAATACATTTTACCTTTAAAATGTCTGAGTATTTTCCAATACTGTTTCCATTAACTTTCTGTTATCAATTCTAATTTAAATGCATCGCGTTCCCATGAAAACATAGTTGTTAGAATTTCATTTTGTTTTTAGTTTTGCCTTATCACTGAGAAGGTGATACATTTGGGTTTTGTGCTTCATGTGCTGTGAGGAAAATGCATGTAGGGATGAACATTTACCCAGCAATTAAAACTCCTGCACCTTCATCGGAGTACATGGGTCCAGTCCCCAGCTTCAGTTCTTGATCCCAGCTTCTTGCCAATGCAGAGCCTGGAAACAGTGGGTGACTCAAATACTTGGGTTCCTCCACTCATATGGAAATGGCTGTATTGGCTTCAGCTTTGGCTCGTCCTTGGCCATCGTGGGCCAGTTGGAGAGTGAAGCAGTGAACAAGAGTGCACTGTCTCACACAGAGAAGTGTGTTTGTGTGTGTGTCTCAAATAAATAACTTTTAAAAGAAAATAGTTTGTATTGTGTTTCTGTTCAGCGAAGGACTAAATTAATATAAACTAACTGAACTTGATAGTATAGTTCAAATCTCTTACATCATTGCCAAATTCTGTCGACTTGCTGCATCAGTTCCTAAGTATTCAGGCATCTGTCGATGACTGTTTCCCGACTCAGTGTTATTCATTTTTATCTTATAATTCTGCTCTTCTGTGCCCATATCTTATGACTTTTAAATCTTCAGTTTACTGCTTTTATAAACTAGATAACTTCGACATTTCAAAAATCAGATTCCAGTGTCAAAGGACAAAATTCTCTACCACTGTTGGTTACACACATATTATAAAAGTGTTTTGAGAAATCCATGCAATAAATGGTTGTTTTCCTAAATCTTGAACTATTTCATAGAAAGAGTGTTTTCCTCTATTTTGTAATCAGATCTTATAAAAATGAATTTTTTGTAGATGACTGAACATACACACGTAAGTTTACAGTGAGATGAAGGTAATTCACATGGGGTAAGGTGGATGACAGAGTGGGATCTGCCCATTTGGAAGACATCTGCACACACGGCCAGTTTGTATGGCTGACCTTCCTAAGGAAACGGCTATGTAGGGAGACAAGCAGAGAGTGCATGATAAGCTTAAAAGGAAAATCAAAGTGAATCTGTTTAGGGATGGAGTTGAAACTAACAAAGAAGCCACAGAAAAATGAACTGATAAAGAGAGAACCAAAGAGAAAAAGGGGGAAAGAAAATATATGGGATCCGAGGGAAAGGCCCACATAAACAAGTGTGAGTTCTTGCAAAGTACCCTGATAATTTCATATATTATCTATAGCCTATATTTTAAACATATTCTGGCTCTACTAAAGCCGCAGTCCTTGGAGTGGGACTGACAAATATACCAAGTTTCAGGGGTTATGTAAACAATCTTCAGTGCGCTGTGTAGCCTAATTTACTGTCATAAACATTGTGGGAAGCAGGAATCTCGATGGCAGCTTGGTGTGGATATTCTCACTGTCAGCAGGGAAAATTCATTGCCTCCTTATAGTGCTGAGTCTCCAGCAGCATTCACCAAGACGGATGACTTGGTGACAGACACTCCAGGCCTAAATTTAATATTTACCCCAATAAGTGAAAAAGGAGAACATCAGAATTCCATCCCTGGGCTGGGCTCTAGGTCCTTCTACCAGAATCTGTCTCAAATGAAGACCCAAAGAGTGAGCCCCAGAGGGCAAGAGTGTCACTTTCCAAAGCAGCTTCAGGAACTATCCAATCACCCTGACCCTCTTTAAAGCCGTGGAGAGTTCTTTACAATCTACTTGTATTTGAATTAGTACCATTTCCCAGCCTTATGGGTCCTGGAATTGCATTTTCTTCCCTACATAAAAGATAGGCTGTAATCATTTTATTGATTCTAAACTTACCTTCTTGAATATCTAACGTGATTTTCTTACACAAGCCTCAGTTTGTCTTCTTTATCCCATCATGGCTTGATAAACTGAGTCTGTCCAAACTCAGCCTTGTCTTTCCAATTGAAATATCTTTTTCATGGAGTCTATATTCATAGAACTATTTCTCCTCCCATCACTTCTTCAACCTGTTAAATTGACTTTCTGTATTATAAAAAAAGAAAAAGTAGATATTGGTGATGGAAGCTACTATTCTCTCAAGCACAGCCACGCCATCTCTTTCCATTTCTCTCTAGAATGAAATTTAAACATTTAGCAGAACACATCTGGTTACAGCACACACGACTTCCTGGGGAGAGGCTGTCTCTGGAGACGATGGGTGAGCGCCCCTGGCTGTGAACTGGAAGGTTTGGTACTTTCTTATCAAATCAAGCTTCCCACTATTTCTAACAACACCTTCATTATGACTTGGTGCTTTAAGCAAATGATATCTACTCAGGATATTTAGATAATGAAATCAACAGATTCAAGAAGTTTTAGCTCGGAGTAGTCCTAGACGCACATGGTCATAGCCCAGAACACATCCGTAAGCATATTATTTGTAAATTCCTCCATAGCCATTTTGTAAACTAAGCTATCAAAAAAACACATTGCTTGTGCTTGCTTCAGCAGCACATATACTAAAATTGGAACGACACAGAGAAGATTAGCATGACCCCTGTGCAAGGATCACACACACACACACAAAAACACATTGCTTTGTAATCACATTTACCTTTGACCATGAAGAACAAGGGCCTAGATTTCAAGGTTCACTTTTCAATTTGATTTCCAAATGAACTAAACATTATTTTTTTAATCCATCTTCAAATTTTCACCTTTGCGGTTTGGCACTTCTTGGCAACAGTACTATGACCGTCTCCACCAGCAAACCCTTCTGGAGATTTAGAATAAATAGGCTGTGCTGCAAGAGACAGAGTAGTCCATAAATCATGGCCCATGCCCGAATAGATCACAGTCCCCATAAAAGCAAGATGAGAAAAGTGCTAGATAAAGTAAAAGGTGTATGGGAACTGAGAGGAGGCTGGGCTGAGATGCACTTGCTAAGTTGCTCAGCACAGAGGAATGGGCAATGCTGGGTGTGTGTGTGGGCATCTTTCATAGGCCGATTACTCACAGCAAGTGCAGGTGGCAGCTTGGCTAAAACTGCTGGGAGTGGGACATGGCTCCTGCTACTGACTTGCTTTAGATGAACTATGTGCCCTCCTGAGTCCTCGGCTGCCTCATGCTGCCTTTGCTTTGGATTTGAAACTGGTAGAACGAACACTCGCATTTCCTTCCTTCTTTCCCCTGGCTCCAATGAGATAACAGAGCAACAGCAAGTAGGATATGGGACCCAGATGAGTGATTTTTGCAAAATCCCTTCCTCTTAAGGACAAAATTATTTACAGTAATGACTGTAATTTCTTTGACTTTTTCCTTAACTGGAAACTTAACATATAAACAAAAATTTTATTTAAGATATTAGAGTAATGTTTTCTGTCCAAATTAAATTATCACTTATGATAACAAACATGACAAGTCTGCATTTCATCTGAATGTCACCATTACACATATAAATATAAATGCAAATAAAATTTTTTGTTCAATGGTATGAGATCACTGAAGTAGTATAAAATTAAGTTTCTGAAGCTTTTAATCACATGGTTATCATTGTTTACTTCAGATCCTCTATTTTCATTCCAGAAACATGTCACTCTACAGAAATTAAAGACACAGCGGGCTGGTGCAATAATCTAGTAGCTAAATCCTTGCCTTGCACACACCAGGATCCCATACGAAAGCCAAGTCATGCCCCAGTTGGCTCCATTTCTCTTCTACCTCCCGGTTGTGGCCTGGAAAAGCAGTTGAGGATGGCTAAAAATCTTGGGACCATACATTCATGTGGGAGACCCAGAAGAAGTTGCTGGCTCCTGGCTTCAGATGGGCTCAGCAACTGTTGCGGCCACTTGGGGAGTGAACCAGTGAACAGAAGATCTTTCTTTCTGTCTTTCCTTCTCTCTGTAAATATGTCTTTCCAATAAAAATAAATATTTTTATAAAGAAATTAAAGATACAGTGTCAAGAGTGAGTTCATATGCCTCTAAAACTTTACAAACTCCTCATGAAGCAAGAATAATGTAGCTAGGTCCATGAATGTTAGGTTTACTGTATAATTAGGGGATTCCCAAGTTAATCCCGATAGAATTTAGCATTTGTTAGAGAATTTGTATAAAAATGATCTTCTTTGAAATGTACATATGTGTTAATAAAACTCAACAACAACCAAGGAGAAAGTTTAGGATTTGGAGTTTTAGAAAAGGTGTCCTGAAGTGTAGAATAATTTAACACTGACCTTGGTAATCATAAAAGCAGACCTTCTCTCAGTTGTTTCATTGTTTCCTTAGATTCTCTACTTGTGTTACATTTTCCCATTATTTGCACCTGGAGTACAGCCTTACAACTGCAATGGCCCCATCTTAGTTTGTTGCTGGAGTGCACAAGGACACAAGACCATAGAAATTGCTAGAACAGGAGTAAGCATTATTTATAAATGTTCTGGGAATGAGTGTTTGGTGCAGTGGTTGACGCAGCACCCAGGACACCAGCATTCCATATCAGAGTGCCAAGGCTCCAGTTCTAGCTCTGCTGCCCATTGCTGCCCTTCTGTTGCACACTGTTGGTCAGCCCACAGAGCTCCTTCTACACTCACCAGTCTCATACAGCAGTAGTGTGTTCCTGGGAGGAAGGCATGGGGATGCCACTACATCAGTCAGGTCATTTGGGAGAAGTCTGAGTTCACAGGAGAGCTGGAAGCCCAGGGTAGGGTATCTTCACTCCAGTTCAGCAAAAGTAGTGATAGAACAGCCTGTCTGAGGTCAGTTTTGCCATTCAACTTCTTTGGTTACTGTAGAGTTTTAAAAATAAATACATTTCAAAAATAAACCCTCTTGTCACTCTTTATTTTTTAAGAAATACATTTTGTAAGAAAGTTGATCTCAAATTCCAGTTGTCATCTCCTGGAGTCACAGCAGTGAGAGGGGGGCAAAAGGGGTGTCTGAAGCAGCAGAGGAGACCCCATTGCCTGGCAACAGCCATCAACATGGTCTTTCCTTCTTAAGAGTGAATTCCAATCAGGACTTCTGGGAAGCTTGCAAAGAACCAGTTGAACAGAAAAGAAGTAGTAGATTTAAAGAAAGAACTTACTGAGATGCAAACAGTAGTTATCCATAAAGACATTTCATCAAGAGAATTTTCAAGAATAGCCTTAGAGAGGTGCAAGACGAGGGCTCCTGGTGAAAGAACAGGTGACCATGAAAGATGCAGTAACAGAGCAAGACAGAGTTCATGGAAAAAAAAAGGTTAAGCACTATTTTTTTAAAGTGTTTATTTTATTTGAAGAAACAGATGGACAGAGACAACTCCCATATGCTGGTTCACTACTTAGACACTCAGAGCAGACTGAGCTGGACCAGCCCATCAAGTTCCCCCTAGGGATGGCAAGAATTCAGGTACCTGAGCCATCACATACTTCCTCCCAAGATGTATACTGGGATCAAGCTCACGCTCAGACCCACACACTCTGATAAAGAGTGTATGTCTCCTGAACAGAGTCGCAAATGCTGTGCCAAGCACCCACCAAGGAAAAAGAAATATTTAATGTAAGAACTGAAAGAAGTTCATAAAAAATTTCAGTAATATAAGTTAGCAAAAGAGACAGAGATAGAAAATATGGAAAGAAAAGTTCTAACTTTAACCTGAAAATGTTTCATTTGCCTTGAACTATCTGATACTCAATAAGTCATTAATAGTATTAATATTCAAGAATGATACTCTAGAGGAAAAAGTTCAACAATCTGATTTTCCAAAGTTCCACACTTTATTATCCTAGAATTACAGAATATTTCTGGTACTAAAGGAAACGGTGGGAATGTATAGGCTAACAGTTTTTGAACAGCATTGCACTCAGACCCAAAATGTGATAGATCACATGTTCCAGCAGATTTAAAGGGAACCCAGGAAGACAAAGCCCCAAATTCAGGTGTTTGACAACCAGTCAGTTTTCTTGTGTGTATTTGGACTTCTATGAAAAATTCCATTTGCAAAAGAGTTGTTTGGTAGAGCACAAGGCGAAGTCCAGCAGAGCCAATACTGCTGCGTCTGGTTCAGCAGATCCTTGTGAAGCGTGTGTCCCTTGTCTAGCCAGAAGACACTGAAGGCTGCACACAACGGGTGGAGAATCAGGCTGCCAGTGTGAGCGTCAGCCCCTCCTCCGTTGTCCCAAGCATCTTGGAGGGCACCCAAACTCGCAGTTTAGCAGAACAAAAGTTCTGTGGTAAAGCAGAGTCCCTCTCCTGAGAAGGGTTTATCCTCCATCTGTTGTATCTTAAGCATGTTCCTTGGAAATCTCACCCAATAGCCCGAAGAGCTCACGCTAAGATCACATATGGTACTCTTCCTGCCAGGAGCGAGGAGACATTCCATTTCTCTCTTATTATATTTCCATTGCTGTTTTAACACCTCATCTAGATGGATATCCTGGGCTGCTACTCAGCTGGCCAAGCCCATCATCTGGCTCAGCGTGCTTAACAGAAATGTTTGATAACCACGGATCAAAACCAAAGCTCTCATGTGCCTGCCACTCAGGGAAACAAATTCTAGAAGACAAAATCAATTACCAAGGTTATGTGTTTTCCCGTTATATCCAATGCTACTTTTATGTGATAGTTTTATTTGGATTTGTTTTTTCTTGTCAAATTGATGTCAGTTATCTTGGTTAAAGATCATTGTTTGGATCCCTTTTCTAATTCCTGCAGTATAACGTTAAGAATAAACATATCCATTAAGTACTTGCTGACAAATCCCTTCAAACTAGTTTTTAAAAGTAAAAATCCCCACCTTTAAAGAGTATGCAACTGGATGGAATGGTCCAATATTTCTTTTATCTATTTATTTGCTTCTCTTTGTATTATTACTATCATTTTATAATACAGTTCCGTAGGCCCTTGGACTTCCTGTACCCTCTCCTTAAGACCCATATATTATTGCTAAAGTATAGTTTTTCACAAACAATCATATGTCCATCATTGCAAGCATAGACAATGGCAGAGTCCAGCATCCTATTGTCAAGATGTAGTTAACAGTTTCAGTGGGAGTCCATCTTTGATTTGGAGGTAGAGAAGCATACTGCATTGTATCCTCACATCTGGATATGAGAGTCTTCACTACACAGTTACTATACATCCCCTTACATGAAAAGCCACAAAACAAAATCAACAACAGGATGAAAAAAAGAAATTAGAAACTCTATGAAGTTAAATAACATGTTACGGAATGACTAATATGTCCCTGAAGAAATGAAAAAAAAATCAAAAATCTTGAAGAAAATGGTCCTTCTGTATGATCTAAAGTCAATGAAGAAATTAATGAGAAAGAATGTGTTTTGAAGAGACGAAACTAAAAAATACAAGTCAAAATCCATGAGATACAGTTTCCACTGATCTGTGTTAGTGAGATATGTCTCTGTAGGCAACAAATAGATGGGTTTTGTTCTTTATTCCAGTTTGCTTATCTATGATGTTTGATCGATGAGTTTAAGCCATTTACATTCAGGGTTAATATGAATGGGTGATAATTTGGTCCTGTCATTTTAGCAATGGGTTGTTCATTGATTTAATCTTCTGTTGTCATTTTACCGGGTTGTTCTTCCCATTTGCCTTTGGT